GATGTGAGTGGCAATGGCTGTAGGACAGCTTTAGGGCAGCTGGGTGAGGCTCTGTTTGTTAGTGACTGGAAAATATACTTTCAAATGCATGTTTATGAGCTTGTGGTTGGTCCCGTGATGTTTATTTTATCTTTTCCAAAGGATTTCAGCCTGGGTGCCAGAAATATTTGGGAAGTTCATAAGGAAGCCGTGTTTTCTTGGTCTGCTCTAGAATGTGTGCTTGCAGCTGACTTGCAGATTACACCCCTGGTTTGAAGGCAGTGTCTTAAAAGTATCATTGTTTCTGTGCAAATCAGGGGTGCTGTGTCTAAAAAGGACCTGGTACAGCACAGCATCACTGGCTGCTTGCTATGTAAAGAGTATGAGAAGAAGTTAGCAAAAGGCTTAGAAAAACCTCCTTGCACTTAGAACTACAGAATGCCAAAATGGTTTGGCTTGAAAAAGATCATCTTACTCCAACCCCCTGCCATGGGCAAGGGACACTTTCCACTAGACCTGGTTATTCAGAGCCTCATCCAGACTGGTCTTGAACATCTCTAGGGACTGAGAATCCATCAGCTCTCTGGGCTAAGAGTTACCCCTGCAGTGCCAGTAACCCTTGGTTTGTTTGCAGAACGTGTACAAGTCTGACCTGGAGTGGCTGAGGGGCATTGGCTGGCTGACAGAAGGTTCTGTGGATGTGGTGAAAGCCAAGAAAGCCCAGGAGCTCCTCAACGACCGCTTGTACCGCACGCGGCCGGAGCAGCTGAAGTTCACCAGCATCACCGACTCCCCTGACGTTGTCCTGGCCAAGACCAACGCCATGCAGCTCAGTGATGTAAGCTCACCTTTCACTTGTGGGGTGGCATTGCTTCTCTTTCTGGTGGAGAGTAGAATTTCTGCGGTGGGAACGATGAGTTGGGAGGTTTTGCAAATTGGAATTACTAAAGAATTGCTCTTGGTGGTTTTTTCCTCACCGTGCTGAATTGCCATTGTTCTTCCTTTCTCCTCAGCGTCTGTATCGTGAGGCCTGGGATAAAGACAAGACCCAGGTTTCCCTCCCTTCAGACACTCCTATCATGCTGCAGTCCAAAGTCAACGCTCTCAACATCAGCAATGTAAGCGAATAACACGAAATATTTGTGAGGTGTTAGAAAATTAAGCCTGGCAATTGTTCTTCCAGTTTTTGCTGTAAATGGTGGTGTACAAACCCACCTTCTAATGTGCTTGTAAACAGGAAATTACACCCAGAGGCTTTTTATCACCTCTCAACCTATCAACAGCTTGTGTGTTCCCAAGCTCAGTGTGCAATTCCACAAAACTCCTGCTCCCTTTGGCAAAACCTGCCAAATACACTCCATGGAGGAGTTGTTGGAGTCTGCAGAGATCGTGGTCTGTCTTCAGGAATATTTCTGCTGCCCCTTTGTGTTTTAATCTTGCACCTACTTTAAGTCATGAGTTTTCTGTTGTGACACTTGCCAGGATCATGATTGTAACTCTGCCAGTTATAGGAAGCAAACAGGGCTCCCAAACTGGTCATTCCAAGCAAGTAGGTTTTTAGAGAAAGCATTTCTCTGTGTTTAACAAAGGTGATTAATTTTCTTTACAGAAACATTATCAGAAGGCCTGGGATGAGGCCAAGGCGAAAAGCTATGACCTAAGAGCTGATGCCATTCCCATCAAACAAGCCAAGGCCTCCAGAGACATTGCCAGTGAGGTACAGCTTTCTCTTGTGTCTCAGCACAACTGAGTAAAGCTCAGCCTGGCAGCCTGGGCAGCTTTAGTCTGGTGGCTGTGTCCAGGTGAGCAACACACCTTCTGTCCTCTCTGCATTTCCAGTACAAGTACAAGGAAACCCACGAGAAGGAGAAAGGCCACTACATCGGGTGCCCCAGTGCCAAGGAGGACCCCAAGCTGGCGTGGGCCGCGCGCGCCATGGCCCTGCAGAACGACCGCCTCTACAAGAAGGGCTACAACGATTCCAAGACCCAGATCCACATCCCTGTGGATGCCCTGTCGGTGCAGGCAGCCAAGGAGTGCCAGGCCCTGGTCAGTGACATTGACTACAGGCAGTACCTGCACCAGTGGACCTGCCTCCCTGACCAGAACGACGTGATCCACGCACGGCAGGCCTACGACCTCCAGAGTGATGTGAGTACCCATGGAGATATGCAATTTTATTATTTAATATTTAATTTTATTCTGATTGTGCTGTACAGTCCCAACAGATTCATATTTAGACTGTTTTCTTCGTTTTCTTGTTACTGCTATTTTGTGCTCTTTTACACTCTTAAAAAGCATCGGTTTTATCTCTAAATTTTGTAGAACTTTAGTTGATAATGTGTTGCATAATGCTTTTGGACAGGTGTAATTTGGAGAGGCTGAAGGATTTGATGGGGTTTAGGAATAGCAGCTGTTTGCTGCCTTGGAATCAGATGGCTTTTGTTACTTCTGTTTGCTTGAGTCAGCTTGGAAATTTATTTAATTGGAAGAAAACTCTGTGAGTTATCCAGTGAGAGGTTTTAGTGGCTGATTGCAAAGCAGAATGAGTCAGTGCAGCTGATTTCCTGACCTGGCTTTGCTGCTTATCAGTTCCTCTTCCACTGTTTCAGTTACAAGCTTTGGAGATGAGGTTCCTGTTCCTTGCTTTTTTGGTCAATTTTCCTGGTAGGCAGCTTGGGGGTTTTGTTAGGACTTATAAATTATTGAAATAACTAGAGGAATAAGTGTTTTGGAGGGGACAGGAAGACACTTCTAAGCTTTTAATATTCATTACCATTAACTGCAACTGCTTCCAGTTGTTTCCCCTTACAAGGTTTAGAATGTGTTGTTTAAGAACTCAACTACTTAAAACCTTGTTGCCAGATTTCATTTTACTTACGACGCTGAGCATCTCCTGTGTACAAAAAAGATTCATCTGCCTCTAGCTAGGTTTATAAAACATAATCTGCTTTGCATAGCTGAAAATAATTAAGGCAATAATTTTAAACAATGTTTCCTTTTTCTGATCATTTCACCCAGGCTGTGTATAAGTCAGACCTAGAGTGGCTCCGTGGAATTGGCTGGTTGCCCAATGACTCTCCAGTCGTTAAGAGGGTGAAGAATGCCCAGGATCTCCTGAGTGACAACGTCTATAGGACCCCCATTGACAGCGTGAAATACACCAGTGTTGTGGATTCCCCAGATGTTGTTCTGGCCAAAATCAACGCTGAACAGATCAGCATTGTACGTTTCCAACCTCCTCAAAGCTGCTTCCACGCTTAAAAAAAAAAAAAAAAAAAATCCCACTGCTAAAATATAAAACTGATCAGTGGTGTTTTAAGTTTAATGCATTTCCAAACATTTTGCTCTTTCGAGATGATAGTTCAGGAGAGATTTATGGGATTTTATGTTATTGATAGGTGAAATTCCATCAGTCTGATATTATCATTAAATGACTGTTTTAACAGCCAAAATATAAAGAAGCCTGGGAAAAGGACAAGACTATGATCCACATCATGCCAGACACACCTGAAATCAACCTAGCCAAGGCTAATGCTGTTAATTACAGCCAGGTATGTTTATCATTCTGTTTTCTCTAAAATAGGATGTGAATTGTATCATTCAAAGACACTGAATCTTTTTGATTGAAGTCATTGAAGTCTGTCCTCATACAGGGCTTGTGACATTGCCTTCCCTCTACTGAATATCCTTAAAGTATTCATCCATTTAAAAATAAATACTTGCATTCAGCATTAAAGATTATTAATATCATGCCCCACTGAGGGAATATTTTATTAAAATGGATGATAATCCGAGGCATGTAAATATTTTCTACACTTTTGCAAACACCTTTCTGTGCTTTATAGGTTGCACAACTGGTGCTGCATGTTTCAGAGGAAGCTGCATTTATGGCTAGGAGCAGGAGAAATGCTCAGAAAAATTCATTGTATTTCAGCAGATAAATGGCTGTTTCTCTAATGTGTGTGATGTTTTATCTGCCTTTTCAGAAACAATATAAAGGAGCTTGGGATGAGCTGAAGACGAGCTACGATTTGAGAGCAGATGCAATTCCAATCAAGTCAGCCAAGGCTTCTAGAGAGATTGCCAGTGATGTAAGTGCCAAACGAGGCATCTCCCATGCTCCAAGAGCTCTTTCATGCTGGCTGTTACTAACGGTGACCTCTGCTCTTCCCCCAGTACAAATACAAGCTGGAGCACGAGAAGCAGAAAGGACACTACGTGGGAGTGCCGAACGCGAAGGGAGATTCCAAAATCCAGTTTGCCCTGGACGTAGCCAAAGTTCAGAGCGAACGAGAGTACAAGAAATACTTTGCCAAGCTGAAGACCCAGTGCCACCTGCCAGTGGACATGATGTCCATTGTGGCAGCCAAGCACGGGCAGACCCTGGTGAGCGACATCGATTACCGGCACTACCTGCACCAGTGGATCTGCCTCCCCGACCAGAACGATGTCATTCATGCCAGGAAAGCCTACGACCTCCAGAGTGATGTAAGTCCACCTGAAAACACCCCTCAGCTTAGTCCTGTATTGCCTCTGCTTACTCTGCTTCAGCTCCAAGGATTGGGAATCTTTTCCTGAATTCAGAGAACTCACCTTGCACTTTGTTAGAATTGCAAAGTTTAGGCCACTTATAAATCGCTGTGTTTGAAGGGTGATACATTCAGATGCAGTGCTCGTGTTGGAATTATTGCTCCCCTTTTTAACCACTGGAAGTAAATTCTGTTATTTATGAATCTTGCTGGATTGTGCAGGAAGTGTGGCTAAGAGCAAGGACCCTGTTTTGTTTTCCCAGGCTGTTTATAAAGCTGATTTGGAATGGCTGAGGGGAATTGGATGGTTGCCAAATGATTCCCTTGGAGTCAAGCATGTCAAATATGCTGGAGATCTCCTGAGTGAGGTAACCAAATGTTTTTCAATACTAAAATTTTCTTTGAGGATATTTGTCACTCCAAGTATTTTAAATGGTTTAAACAATGAGGTTTATTCCAAATGAAAAATGCAACTGCAGTATTTTCACAACATACATTGTGTCTGGAGAGGTTTTTCTCCATGAGAACTTCCTTGTCTTGTGTATCTGTTCAGAATTAGTGTATTGGACATCAAATATTCGAGGTTAATCTGTTCTTCTTTTTCTTGTACAGAGGAAATATCGCACAAAAGCTGAAACTCTCCCGTTCACGCCCGTGGCTGACAGAGTTGATTATGTCACAGCAAAGAATAGCACAGAAATCCTCAGTGATGTAAGTCTGCTCTCAGTGTCTGGGCTACATTTGACTTCTGTGATTCTGTATTTAATGTGCTTTGTCTAATGGCCTTGCAAGTCCAGGGGTTGGTTCATTATTTTGTGTGTAAATGATGATGTTTTCCCAGTTCTGTGGTGGTGCTACAATGCAGTCATTTCTTTCATTTTCTTTCTAGATTAAATACCACAAAGAATGGAATGAGGCCAAGACAAATTATACTCTCACAGATACACCACAGCTGGATATGGCCCGAGAGGCAGCCAGAATCCTAAATCAGGTACGTGGCCTCTCCTTGACAGCTTCTACTCACATTTTTTAGGTCTTTAGAAAACCTGCCTTATTGATAATAACATGAAGTAAGGATTTGTTCTACTTCTGTATAAATTACATACATACAGTAATCACCATCACTGTAGTGGTGTTGAATTCCTCATCACTTTTATTTCCCACAGAATTTATACAAGGAAAGTTGGGAGAAAGAAAAAGCCACTGGTTACCTCCTGCCTCCTGACACGGTGCAGATCTCTCATGCCAAGCACTCCAGTGATGTCCAAAGTGAGGTAATGATTTTTCTCATTAGGGAAATAAATGCTTGGAAGCCTGGAATGTTAAAGGCCTTGAAAATTCCCAAACTGGCTTAAAAAGCTTTCCATCTAGGGTAACACCCAGACTTTCCAAGGCTTATGAATTCCACTGTCCTTCAAATAATTTGGCTATCTTTGTGATTGTGGGGCTTGGAGATATTAGTGCTAAAGGTCAGATTCCTTGCACATTCACTTTCTCCAGAAACAGTCCTTTCAAAATCAACTGAGCTGGACTTCCCTATTTTACAAGTGTTAAATAATTGAAGTGATACTGTGATTATAGCATATATAGCTCTGATTTCACTTTTTGGCCTATCAAAACCTCTCGGCCAGTACACACTTTACAGTTTAAACATTTGCATAATGGATCTTGAAATTATTACATGACTCTTATTTGGAATAAACATTTTATCCAAGCAGTGTGATGTAAGTACCATAAATAAGTGTCCACCCTTCAGACAATCTCAAATAATTTGTTGCCAAAATGAGACTCAATGCGCTTGTTAGGAAACATTTTCTAGCAAGTCATTCCTCTTGTGTTAACAATACATTTTACTGAAAACTGGGAGTATATTAGACTAGAAAATGCTATGTTTTAACCTGGAAGGCCTATACAAAGTAACATTACTGTTTGTGACCTGATTTTTATCTGGTCATGTACTGAAAACTTAATGCTGCGTTTGCCAGCTCCCTGTCTCATCTGATCCTTGTGTTGACAAACCTGAAGCTGTTCCCAGGTTAAACCCAGAGTGGATCAGCCAGTGCTGATTTTCTCTGCGTTTCTCCCCTCTCCCACCAGCTGAAATACAAAGCTGAGTATGTCAAGCAGAGAGGTCACTACGTGGGAGTGGCCAAGATGAGGGATGACCCCAAGCTGGTGTGGTACGAGCACGCGGGCGAGATCCAGAACGACAGGCTCTACAAATCAGACTACAACAAAACCAAATCCAAAATCCACATGCCTTCAGATGCCATGGCAGTTGTGGCAGCCAAGGAGTGCCAGAATTTGGTCAGTGACATTGACTACAGGCAGTACCTGCACCAGTGGACCTGCCTCCCTGACCAGAGCGACGTGATCCACGCACGGCAGGCCTACGACCTCCAGAGTGATGTGAGTGATGGGGCAGCCCTACCAGGTCCTTTCCACATGGGCTGGACTAAAGATGTTGCCCACAGCACATAATCCATCCTGAGCTCAATGATTTCTGTCTTTTTGCTTTGTCTTTTTTGGTTTAGAACCTCTATAAATCTGATCTGGAGTGGCTTCGTGGCTGTGGTTGGATCCCTCTCGATTCAGTGGAGCATAAGAAGGTTAAGAATGCACAGGAACTGATAAACAAGGTAAGAGAAAATATTTCAGCAGTTCCACAATTAGCACTTCTTTCTCATGCACAGTGTTTAAGACATTATTTCATCTCTTTGCAGAGAGCATACACAAAAGAAGCCTTGGAGAACTTTTCCAAATACACCAGCGTGGTTGACACTCCTGAGATCGTTTTGGCAAAGATGAACTCTGTCAATCAGAGTGATGTATGTAACAATTTTTTTAAAAAATTAAAATTTACATAAAAGAATTAGTGGATGATTTAATTGCTTTTGCTAACTATACTAGTTTTAGTCTTATATATTGTGTGTGCACCTCATTAATGACAGGCTTTCCTGGGTAAACAAGTTTAGTAAGAAGTGAAATGAATGAACAACACAATATTGCTGTCCAAATAATTTAACATTTTCCTGTAGAAGAATATGGCATGTCCCTGACTTAGAGTTTACATAGATTTTTCTTACAGTAGTTGAAAACTGAGTCCTGTTCTTGATGAACAACTCCTGGACTTCCTGGTGTTGCTAAACTGTATTTGCTGAGCAGTATCTTAAATTTTTCAAGAATACCATGTGGATTTTGAGGTGACACAGCAACATTTGCCTGTGTATTACAATGATTGGAATGTCCTACACAACATTATTACACAAGAGAAAATTAATGTCTACTAGTAATGGATGGATTAATGGGAATAATGTATTTCTCCTGTGGAATTAACACTGTGTTTGTTTTCTTTTGTAGCTAAAATACAAAGAAACATTTAACCAGGAGAAAGGCCAGTACATTGGGTCTGATGATACTCCTGCTCTGCACCATGCCAAAGACATGTCCTTGCTCCACAGTGAGGTGAGATCCCATAAATATCAACCTTTGACAGCAGCAGAGTGTGGGGGGGACTGGAGGAACTCTTCTACTCTCAGCAGTGGCACTGGGAAGGTTCTTTACTCCCTTTTTTTTGTTCAGCTTTCCCATTTGGATCATTGGAATCAGGACGATTTCTTTCCTTATTGAAGTGATCTTAAAGGACAGCTGTGTGGTGCTTGGAAGTTATAATAGTGTGACAAAACCAAATATAATTCTACACAATAATATCTTCTGAGACTACTGATAAATTTTGCATTTGCTTTTTTTATAAGAAATGAAAACTGTAGATGATTTACATTATTAAGCAGTTACTTTTGAGTAGTTTCACTGATTTTAATGCAAAACCTCTATTTTTTAAAAATAGACATGATTACTCATTCATATGAATAGGCACTTCATAATTCAATCTGAAAGTGAATATATTTTATAGTTAACAAAATAAGTATTAGGAAAGTGCCATTGACACTAATGTTTCTGTAATAAACACCAATATTTCTTGAAGATTTTTCACAATTTTGGTCATCTACAAAATTATCAATCTCATTTCTATACTGCACTTTAAAACCAGAGTTCATATCTATATTTTTGGATATTTTCATTACTCTTCTGGTATAAATGTAATAAAGAAAGCAGAAATCAGCTCAAATTTGTGCTCAGGTAGCTTCCTGAAGTGAACACCTGTCCTGTTTGCCTTACACTAAATGACTGTTCAAAATGAACATTCTCCATTTAATTTATTGGGAAGCCCTCTGTAAAAACATTCTGTTTTCCATGTGTGCATAACTGGGAAATAGAATCGATTTCTCCATCAAAACCTGTGTGTGCTTTGTTTGTCTAGAAACATTACAAGAAGGCTTGGGAGCAGAGCAAACCCATTGGATACAGCCTGGATGAGAAATATATTCCACTTGTGGGAGCCAAACATGCAAACCAAATCAACAGCGAGGTCAGCAGGGATTTCCCATTCTTTCCCTTTTTCCCCCCCCCCAATATGTTGTTGGAATGAACATTAAAATTCCTATATGGATATTTTTTCAGCTTAAATATAAAGAAATCTATGAGAAGCTGAAAGGTCATTACCTGGCTGGGAAGGATATTAGTGAATTCCCCAGTGTCATCCACTCCCGGGAATTCCAGAAAATGAGGAGCGCGGTAAGGAATGAAAGAGTCTGGAATATTTTCCTTTTGCTTAATTTCATTTATTTATTTCACTGATGAAATTTCACTATTTCATTACTTAAACATCAATAATGCAAGGCTTAATAGAATTTGTAGAATCACAGGATCATTAAGGTTGGAAAAGAATTCCAAGATCAAGCCCAGCCTTAACATAAATCCACAATAATATCAGTAAAAATTATTTCAACATGTTTATGTTTCCTGAATGCTTATTTTATATGTGGGTTGAATAATTGAATTTAAAATTATTTAGGAGATTGAGAAGGGGTTTGTTTAGCTATTAGAAATACTACAGTAAGGAAAAAAAAAACATTTTCTGTTTCAGTCTGTGGATCTGAGCAGAAAAAAATACCACGTGGGATTCATTTCCTTTACAAATAAAAGTGTAGATTTTGAGTTGAAATAGGAATTTAAGAACTAGAAATGTAAATGCACATTTGGTGTGTTGCTGTTGTCAGCACTGCACATACAACGTGTCATGCAGGGAATAAAATCAGTGTAATCCCAAATATTCTGTCTTTAATTAGATTAAAACCATGTGTGGAGCATTAGTTTTTTAATCCTGAAGATTTGTTAGTTTTCTCATCAGCTGTTAAAACTGCAAGTGAAGGTAATTTTGTCCTTCCAGAACTTCACCACCATAAAATGTGATTTATATCCAAGTTAAGATTTCTATCCTGTCGAATCCCATGGGAGCTTAGCTACTAAATCCAGGAAACACATCTCAGATTATCCTGTCACTTTTCAGTCCAAAATCCAAAGCTGTACAGAAAACCACTCTGATTTCCTCTGCCATTTGCCCCAATCTTTGCTTTTCAGCTGGCCTACAGAAAGAATTATGAAGACACCAAGAAGAATGTCCACATTCCAGCTGACATGATGAACCACGTCCTGGCCAAGAAGTGCCAGTACATCCTCAGTGACCTGGAATACCGCATGTACTTCCACCAGTGGAGTTGTTTACCTGAAGACAATGATGTTATTCATGCCAGGAGAGCCCAGGAGATTCTGAGTGATGTCAGTTTATCATTTATTTAGAATAGGCTGAGTTGGAAGGGACCCCCTCAAAGTCATCCAGTCCAACTTCTGGCCCTGTGCAGGACACCCCAAAAATCCCACCAGGAAGCCTGAAGGCCTTGTCCAAACCCTTCAAAACTTATGTGAACTTTCTGAACCCATTTGTTTGACATTATAGCAGCCTTTTCCCATCATTTTTTCCCAACTATCTCCCATAATATTTAAATATTAAATTAATAACTGTGGCTTTAGATTCTTTGTACCAATCACTGCAGTGATCCTTATCTATTGTAATTGGGAATGCTGGAATTAGCAGGGGGACCAGGACAACATCCAGAATCCTTCTGGATCCAGTGGGTGTGGAAGAGAATTCCCCTTGTTTGTTGGGGTTGTGTCATCCCACAGCTGAGAGAATGGTGCTCATATCCTGCAGTCAGTGGTGTCTCAGCTTGGGCCAACCAACCTTCCCAAGAAAATCTGAGCATGTGTTAATTGCCTGGCTTAATAGGATGCAGAATTCCTTGATTTAATTGGCAGAAGGCAAATTTCTTCCTAACCTAATATTCTGTTCACTTCCATGTAGAATGTGTATAAAGATGACTTAAATTGGCTGAAGGGACTTGGGTGTTACGTCTGGGATACTCCACAAATCATACAGGCTAAGAAATCCTATGACCTGCAGAGCCAGGTAAGTTTTCTTTCAATAACTAAATATTTATGTGTTTTTTCTTCCATTTATGATTCACTGGGATTGACATGTCCATAGTTCAGAGCAGACTGAAGTAATTCCTGTTACATCAGAAATATTTTGTTTAAACTGTGAAAATGCAGTCATGGAGTTACTTCTGTAAAGACATCACATGTGTTATGGGAGGAGGAGAAAACTTAGGAGAGTATAAAGACAGCTGTGTGTATAAATTTTATTCTATTTTTATTTTTTTTATTGTATTTTTTATCTTAGTTCATCCTGGCTGTATACTAAGTATTTCTATTTTATGGCCTATCACTTTCAGAGTTGATCTTAACTGAGCTGTAATCTTTGATTTCAGCTGTCCAGATGTGATTTTAAAGGCAGCTGGCAGGAGATTTCCAGGTCATTTTCAGCACTAACGAGTGCTTTGTTGGTTTTGTGTCCTTAGATAAAATACACCTCTGCAGGGAAGGAGAACTTGCAGAATTTCAGCGTGGTTACAGACACCCCTGTCTATGTGACTGCTCTGCAAAGTGCTGCCAACGCCAGTGAGGTGAATCCCCACCTTTTCTGCTCAGGATTGTCCTTCTGAGCATTGAAACAATTCACTAAACCCAGCTTTCATCTTCCAGGTGAAATACAAGGAGGAATTCCACAAAACTAAGGACAAGTACACAACTGTGACTGAGACAGTGGATTCAGAAAGAGTTCAGAATTTGAAACATCTCTATAGTGATGTAAGTGTTTATACACTTTTTTTTTTTTAATCTTAAAGAACTTTAATGAGGGATTTTTGTTTTTATTTCTGTTTGTTCACTCTGTTTGAAGATAAACATCCAAACCAGGAGCTTCTCAAAGCCAGTGCTGGTCCTCTGCACTGCTTGTGCTTGGAGGAGATGTTGTATTTCAGGCAAGGGCCATCTTTTCCAACTGTAATCCCAGTCTTGGCAAAATACTTGGATTACTAAGTAGATTCCCTTAATAAAATTACACCTGAACAAAATTAAAACCTCATATGAGAACAGACATGAATAGTTAGAAAGGATTTTTATCATCTTTTGCATGCACTTGACCTTAAGTATCACATAATATCTTCTTTACAATACTTTACTATGTGGTATCTAAATAAAAGCAAAAGGGCTTTTGATGGTAATTATTTACAAGAATTAATTTTCCACTCACACAAACTTTCTATTTCCCCACAGAACCTCTACAAGAAGGCCTGGGATAAAGTGAAGGCCACCAGTTATGCACTGCCCTCGGATTCTGTAGCCTTGGCACGAGCCAAAGAACTGAAGCACAATGCAAGCATTGTAAGTGAATTAAATTCTTTATTTTTTTAAATCAGACCATCAATTCTAACAATTAAATACTTCATGCCTTGCATCTACTATAGATATAAATGTTTTTAAACATCTTTTGCTTGACTCAAGTTGGAATTAAGAGAGATCACTCCACAGATCTCTTCAAATGAAACAGCTGGAACAATACATAAGTGCCTTATTCTACATCTGTTTATTTTATAAGTCCTCTAGTCAGCTGTTGTTTTACAACCTGATTGTTATGCTGTGCTTTCTTTGCCATTTAAGACAGAACACAAAACTAAAATCCTGCTTTAAAGCCTTTCTTTACTTGTTAGTCTCAACTTTTTTGCTTAATGATGATGAATTTTGTTCCAAAACCACAACAGACTCGTTGGAGTCAGTTAATTGCTGCATTTCTTTGCTTGTGCTCAGGTCAAATACCGTGAGGAGTATGACAAGTTCAAAGCCCTGTACACCATCCCCAGAGGTGTTGAGGATGATCCCAATACAGAAAGGTGCCTCAGAGTTGGGAAGCTCAACCTTGATGTAAGTGTTGGCTCTGGGGGTGTGTTTTCCTGATAAAGCCATGCTTGTCTCAGAAGCAGCCACTCAAAGAATCCCCGTGCCTCCATGCTGACATCCCATTCCCCAGGCAGTATTTGCTAAATTCTAGAATGCAACCATGAATTTAAGTTTTAACTCAATTGCTGCATTGCCTCCACGGCCAAACCTTTAGTGTAATACAGGTGAAATCATCCTCTGCCTCCTTTTACCTCATCAGCTCAATGAAAATTGAACAATTCCCATTTTACCTGCCTTGTCGAGGTTCTGCAGATTATTTTTAGAGCAGGCCAGATGTAAATTTTAGTCAGATCCAAAGCGATCGCTCTCCCACTGCCACCCCATGAAAGCAGCCGTGATTTCCTGCAAACTGATCACCAGCTCATGCCTCAGCTTTATTAAAACGTGGCCGTAACTCCGCAGCGCCTGTACAAAGAAGCCTACGAGAAGACCAAAGCCAAGGTGCACATTGTGCCAGACATGGTGGACATCATCTCAGCCAAGGACGCCCAGAAGAAGATCAGCGAGGTCGATTATCGCACGCGGCTCCACGAGTGGCTGTGCCTGCCAGACCTGCAGGTCAACACCCACGTGCGGAGAGTCACCGACCAAGTCAGCGATGTAAGTGCCCAAACCTCTTCTTCCTGGCTCACTTTTGAGAGCGTTCCCTCGTTTGTGCTCTGCTGGAGGAAATGACGTGGCAGAAATGACGTGGCAGAAATGACGTGGCAGAAATGACGTGGCAGAAATGACGCTGCCACCAAGCTGAAGTTGCCGCTTCGTTTTTATGACACGTGGTAATAAATGGGTCGTTGAGATGGGGCTTAGTTGAATAGAATCAGAAAATCCCAGGATGGTTTGGGTTGGAAAGGATCTCCAAGCTCATCCAGTTTCATTCCCTGCCATGGGACACCTTCCACTCTCCCAGGTTGCTCCAAGTCACATCCAACCTGGCCTTGGACACTTCCAGGGATGGTGAATCTACAACCTCTGTGCAGCAATTTCAATAATTTCAGTGTTAATAATGCAGGCATTTGGGTCATAACATGACAGTTCTACCCTGCCTGTAAATTGTCCTTTATTTGGTTGCATGAGGTATAGAAACTTTGGAAATCTGAGAAAATCCTGGTTGGACAAAACTTCTACACAGTTGTCTTGAGCAGGTCAGCCCAGGAGTAAGATCTGGCAGTAAATCAGTGCCCAGTAGGATGTGCAGGTAGTTTTTAAAAAAAAAAACATTGGGTTTTTAATGTGTTGCCCAAATTGAAGGAAATAGAACAAAAATTATTTAAATCCCACAAGGAATTATTTTGATTTTCTCAAACAAAAAAAAAAATCAAAGCAGTAGAAACCTTCCTTGCCATCATTTGACAGTTGTGTTTTGGAGTGATTTAGAAATAAGGGATCAGACCTTGATGGAATTCTTAGAGGTTCCTTCTCTGCTTCCTTAGGTGATCTACAAGGATGATCTGAACTGGCTGAAAGGCATTGGCTGCTTTGTCTGGGACACCCCTGAAATCCTCCATGCCAAGCAAGCCTATGACCTCCGCAGTGATGTGAGTGGATAACTCTGGGTTTGCTTCTTAATCTTCTTTTTTCACTCCACTGTGGCTTTATTCCACTCCAGGTATAGTCTGGAAAATGTTACTTTTCTTTCTTGATTGAAGGAGTCATTAAATAACAAGCCATAGTTCTGATATACTTTCAGTTTCAATGGTGGCTCACTAATAAAATAGCTCAGTGATGAAATAAATAGTAAGAATAGTAAATATGAAAATACAATAAATGAAATTAACAATTGCTAGCATTACTAATTAGAGCTCTTGCTTTCTCTCTGCAGATTAAGTACAAATCTAAGGCAGAAAAAATGAAGAGTGACTTCACTGTGGTCACAGACACTCCTGTCTATGTCCAGAATGTGATCAGTGCCTTGAATTTAAGTGAGGTTGGTGTTTCTCTTACTCTCTAGCCAATATTGCAAATGCTGTAACCTCACCAGGTTTAGAAGTAGGACTTTTAATATGTTTTTAATAATTTAATTTTAATCATTGTTGGTTATCTACACCTCATTGTAGACACAATCACTAAAATCATTAATTGCCTGAAGCCAAAACATTTTAATCCAGTTTTTTAGGAACAATTCCCATTGTATGCAAACAAAACATTCTGTGAGGGAATGTGACAATTATGACCCTTTCTCTTTCCCAGGCTATCTATCGTGGTGATTACAAGAAGAATGTCCAAGGCAAGATGATCTCTACTGATAAAACAGTGGATTTGGAGAGGGCATACAATGCAAACAAAATACAGAGTGAGGTAAGTACAAAACTTTGGGCTCCACAGAGTTTGTGATGCTGAAAACCCAAATTGTCTGGTTTTAGCTTTTCAGGTGAAGCTGCATGCCACTGCTCTGAAATGAAAATGGAGAAATGTCCTCATTTGAGCTATAAAAATTGATTTTAATCCATTTTCCTCTCAAACATGGGGGAAATTTTTTGCCAGTTGTGATGGAGAGATTTCCGAGATTGAGGATTTCCCCTGCAGTGTTGCTGGCAGTTGTACAAAGTCTCTCTCTCTTCTCTTGCAGAATTTGTATCGCTGGGCTGGTGTGAATGCTCTGCCCACTGGGTACAGCCTTCCCACGGACACCCCCAACTTCCAGCATGCCAAACACGTCCAGCACATCGGCAGTGATGTAAGTCAGGGACTGAATCCTTCTGCACCATGGCAGTTGTCTTGGT